CTGATCTAAGTAAGGGCATGGCTAACTCACAGATCAAACCCTGAAACAACCTCTGGGCTGATCTAAGTAAGGGCATGGCTAACTCACAGATCAAACCCTGAAACAACCTCTGGGCTGATCTAAGTCAGGGCACTACTAACTCAAAGGTTAAAGGCTCGAATTGAAATTTGGCTTGTTAGGTTTGAAAACTGGAGAACACGGGAAAAAAATCGAAATTAAGCAAACTCTATTTACATGGGACGCTGTTTYTTGTTCCATACAGACGAACACATTCAACGAATACAAACCGAACTTGCCCCACTAAAGAAGAAAATCCACGATTATGAAGTCGAGGTTAACGAAGCAAAGAAAAGACTAACGAAGAGCAAGGTGGAAATGAACAGCAAGCTGACAGCTGTTAAGAGCATGTTCCGGGGGGAGCCGCGTTCATGCGAAGTAAAAGCACTCTTACTGGAAAAGAAGAAAACGCTTGCTGATGTTACGAATGATGAGGGAGGTGTTCGACCAGCACGTGTTCAGGCTGGCTTCCCCCCGAGCAGAATCAGACAGTATATTAAAGGTATGTTACAATAACTACTAGTTTATTTGGATTTCTTTGGGGTACTGAGGAAAAATGTTGAAAARAGGGTAGCATGGGTGGCGTTCGCGGCTAACGCGTCGTCTTTCACCGCTGTGAGTCCAACGGGTCGGGTCGCTGGTTCGAGCCCTGCGGTCGCCATATGTGAATTGAGTTTGTTTGATGTGTTGTTCTCTCCTATGCTACGAGGGTTTTCTCCGGGTTCTCCGGTTTCCTCCCTCCATAAAAATCAACATGTGAGTTGAGCGTTGTGTGCATAGAATATTAAATGTAGTGGTAGTGCGTGTGAGTGAAAAGTGTCCCCAATTAGTGCGAAAGCGCTAGAACGACTAGACACTTAAATAAAGTGATTTATTTATTTAAAAAGAAGTGCGGAAATGAAATCTAAAAGCATAAAAAAGTGGATTTGAAAATCAAATGAATGGGAAAAGCAGAGACAGGGCTTCCTAATCATTGGTATGAAGTATCCAATATACTAATAGGTATTCCTAAGCGCCTATCTTGTATTTATATTTATATTTATACCTAATAACTTGCTGATACCAATTCTCGTATATTCGTTGAATAGGTGTGGTAGCTGAGTTAGCGTACGTATCGGATCCAGACCTTTCTCGGCTGTTGTCGTGGTACCTTCAGCCCAAGATGGGTGTATGTTTAACTACGACTATCGACAAACAACGCAAAGTCTACGACCTGGGATTCCCAGCCTACTGTGAATCAACCCTGCTTCCATTCTCCAAACGGGATTTTGATGGTCAGGACGGGAAACCACTTCCTTTAGAGTTTCCTCAGCCGCCCCCGAATTTTAGAAGCTCGATCCAGTTTGCTATTAACCTGTTGGAGTTTTCGGCCGAGAATGGATATTTAAGAAGTACATTCTATTGGTCTCTTTTGTCCAAAACCATGGTGATTGAAGATCTTCATTCTGCGCAGATTTATCGCCAGCACTTGGTTCAGATGCGCTGCGCTTGTCCTACTATTCTTACGCGTGATGGCAATATGATCGCCAGTGATGGGCTTATGGATCCCAAACGAAAGTGTCCCAGGAGTCTAGGCGAGCTGAAGTTCTCGTTCGGCGCGCTGCCACCAACAGAACGAGCTGTAAACAAACAACTCTCAGAAACAGTCAATCAACTGGAAGAACTCAATAAGACTGTGTTAGAATGCGAAAAAACATTGGACCTTGTCAAAATGAAGGAAGATCATCTAAGACAACAAAGATCATCATTATCACCACAAATAACGACTCTTGAAAGAGAACTGCGCAAACTCAGGCCGTCTCCTCCGCTAAGTGACTCACTGCAGTCTCCTGATAAGCGTAAGCGTAGATAACAAATGGTTTGGAAGACTTTGTGGACATGCATCGAGTCATGCAGCTTTCTCCAGCTATTGCTAAGCTGTGTGCATGCTTTCAGTAGGGCAAGAAGGCATGACATAACAACCCTAAGATTGGCTCCATGGAGAGAAGGATGCCACTTCCCCCCTTATCTCCCCACTCGCCTAGATCCACCAATGGAAAATTAGAGCTGTCTTTTTATCATATGCGAAAACGATAGCTATAGATTACGTTTCGGGTTAAACCGTCAAAAAAAATCAATAAGTTTGTATATCATACTAGTACGTTTTCAATTTTGAGGGGAAAAAAACGTTTCAATTTTGAAAAAAACCCCACTTTTTTAAAAGTTTCACCTTTTTGGAATTCCAAATAATGCGCGTTCATAACGACCTTAATGTTGTTTAGCTTTCTGATTGGTTGCGCAAACAATCAATGACGTAGAATATTTTTAACGTTGAATATTTATTAGATTTTTTTACGTTCGTGTTTATTATCGACGTGGTATTTTTCCGTCTTCATAAATTTGTGAGACCAATTCAACTTTCAAGAAAGTTTTCCTCACATCATCGCCTTCGAAAAGAAGAAAAAATAATTCGGCATTTTTCTGTGACGGAAGTTTCTCTAAGTTTTTATCACTAAAATTCATACGCTTTTTGTTTTTTAAAAAAGTTAGAGAAAAAATCATTTATTTTCAGTTTGAAATCCTAATTGATTTTAAAGACAAGCTCTTTTAGAGAATTAAAAAAAGTGACATTCTAGTCAAGTTCAAAAATTTTAAGGCCGAATACAAACGTCGAACTTTACATGAGCCGAACCTAATGACATATAAGAACACCACATCATTATTTATTGTTTTCAATGCGTACGGCTCGTGTAAAGTTCGACGTCTGTCCAGAGCCTAACAGGTTGTCAAAAATGTTGCAGTCGCTCTTTATCATACTTGACCAACGAGACTTTGGGTTCGAGCTTTTTTTTGAATTCTTATCTTTAAATTGTACGTACCCTTTTTATAGCCTGCGTGACATCCGGAATTTTGTTCGAAATTCCGGATGTGACGCAGGCTAGCTTTTTACAGCAGGCCAACAAACCTTCAACGTGTTTGAAATAGGGCTCGCTTGAAATGCGGGTGAGAACGGCTGTAATATTGAAATTATCCAAAGAGAATATTCATTGACGCATTAACAAAATCAATGAAATCATACTTTACTTACATTCTGTTGTCTCTATAATATCGTCGTGAGAAAATGATGAACAATTAGAAGGGATCAACTTATCACACTTCACCCCTCTCAGTATTGGAACTCAACACCAACTACTAGTAGAAGGGGGCCCCATTTCTCATTTCTATCGCTGACAATCGTATTTAGGCCTACCTCTGGTATATCGCGTTTAGGGTGTTAAACAGAAGAGAATGACTGGGAAAAGAAAAATAACTATTTCCACTTCAACCCACCTTTTTTTATTTCCAGTTATAAGCCATCCACAGACTTCAAGCAGACGACACCTTAAATACCAACTTGGATCAGCCTAACAATTGGCATGGTTCTTTTGATTCTACGAAATTAGTGGGTGCGGCTATATAAACTTTTCGTTTTCGAGGGCCAGAAGGTAGATAAGTTATAGGTTAATTATGTTACTCTCGGAAAATAAAGATTTCAATAAAAAACAACGTACTTACCATCATACGTTAGACAGCACATGACCATTGATTGGGTTGCCTGTGTTTCTGACGGTAAAGAAGCCTGAACCCAAGACAAATAATCAACCAATCACATTATTTTGTTTAGTCACGTGGGATGGGGTATATAAAGGGTATTTCTCCTCGTGTTCTTTCTCTTGGCGTCCATTACAATCGAAGGTAGGGAAGGTTGTAAGATTTAGCCTTATATCTCGCAGAATATAAATAATTATACTTTCCAAACTAAGTAATCATGTTAATAGACATTAAACATTCGAGATTGACGATTATTAGACGCGAAGTCCTTAGAAATCGCGAAGAATAGACGCTCAAAATTGTGAGACCACGTGCAAACTGGAGCCGGTACACGTGGTGTTAATGACTCTTTAGCCAGAAATAAGGATTCTTATGGTGCTATTCTAACATAACAATCTTACAATTAGGCTTAAAGATCAATATTACTTTGATTGATGGTTGATTATCAAATTATCAGAGCCTAAAAAATAGAGAAAACCCTCTTCAGAAGTTATGTCGAAGGCGTTCTCAGTTGTTAGCAATGAAGCTTTTTCTTTAGGTTACTCAATTGAATTTTCTAGCTATGTTATCCTTTTGTAAGCAAAAAATGCTTGATTTAGTAACTATTGCAAATTTTTATATTGCTCTTCAAATCACCCCTCACAAGACCCAACAAGCTAAATTTATTCTGTTAGTTTGTCATGTCCTGACTTAATAGATCAGCCAAGTCTTATTACCTTTTAATCAAGCATATATATTCAGAAAATTTGATTTCAAGTTGTGTTGTGGTCTGTAGARGTACAAAGCAGTTTGTTGGTGATGACACAAAGATGACGAGACTGAAAATCATGCTGCAGTGAATACGTTATGTATGAACTGCTAACGTGATGTCAAATCGAGGCATTTGTCTGAGACAACTGCTGTCTAACAGCCAAGATCTTAACAGCTTGTAATTTTTTTTGAAAATTATATGAATGTATCTTCTCTATTCTACTTAGAGATTACAAGGACCAACTCAATGGACAGTTCAATGGCTAAACTTTGTACAGCAGAGTATGATCATATTTTTCCTGATGTTCTTCTTATCCAACACAAAACGTAAGTTGCTATTTCCTCGCGCTACTAAAAGTATCTATATGCAAACACACCACTCTACTCACTTTTGCTTTAGCAGTCTTGGTAAAAAACGTATATAAGTGCCTTCTGTGTTATTTCTGTATGGTATAAGGCGGGATATGTTACTAGATGTCATGTCAATCATAAGGACAAAGAATGATGAAACTTGACTAGAGTCTCTGAACAGGTCACATTGTGTCCTTGAAGATAACGTGGTGTTTCTGACTTTGCCTCTTATGCAAAATGCAAGTTGTATACAAGGATTAATCGCATACATGTCGTAGGACAAAAGAATTTAAAAAATTCCTTGTTGGGAATGAAATCTTGTCAATTCTTGGTTTTACTGCCCAATCCACAAGTAATTTCAAAAAAATACATATATGTATAARGGAAAATATGATTTTTTGTCAAACTTGCCACTCCCCTGTTGCTTCTGACCTAAAATTGATGTTGTAAAACCACTCTTATTATAATGTTATTCTTTGTCATAGTTTTACACCTTGTTTCTTTTTTGCAGGATCTGTATGAAGTTCTTGTTGCCGATGATAATGACGTGACTACATACTGTCATCAAAGGTACAAATGATAGGCAAGACTTATCCAGAGTGAAATATTGTCTGCAGCTTGAGAAAGATCTATGATGAATATTGCAATCTGACACCTCTTGTTTGAGTGCTTGTCACAATGAACGGAATAATTGCAATCATTTTCTGAGACTATTGCATGCATTACTTGCACTGTTTTGTGTCCCATTGGCTGCCTTAATATAAAGTCATTTTGAATCACTACTTAACATGATAACTAAATTAAACCTCTCCTTGTCTTTGTTGTAGGGGATATCTTGGATACGATGACAGGTAAGATAATGAAGTATTAAAACTTGATGTTTACTAATGCTGAGAGTTAATGATGATAAAATAGTTATCCCTGTCTTATTAAACCATGCAGAGATGTCACGTCAGGCTGATAACTCTCTCTTTTATTCATTTAATTATTTTCTATTTTTGCTTTTACTTACTCGAATTTGTTATCAACAGCAACTGAGAGAATGTAGCAAATGGTTTTCCCCTCAGATGCAGGATAAAAAGGTAAGCTTGTTTGAAATTCATTTTTACTATTGCCCTATTCGTCCAGTACTGCACAAAGGCAGCCGTCCCTTCTAAATTATTTATTTTTTGATGTTCATTATCTTTAATGTTGAATATCAAATAGACTAGATAGATATAATGTAATGCCATGTGATGATGCATGATCATGTGTGGGATGATGATTTTCCTATTCCCCAGCTTATATACCATGCTGATAGTATAGATCATGCCAATTTTGTCTGACCACACATTATCCCTCACAATTAATACAAAAGGAATCTCAGAGTTTTAACCCCACTAACACAGCTTCCATTCTTGTCAACAGCATTGATGCTGTCTATTGTAGTGAAAAGCAGTGACAGTGATGTTGTTATGGTAAGTTAGGGGAATTTGTACAGGAATTTCATTCCTCTGGGAGTGATTGAAAACCAGCAATAGTTAATGCCATATGATGATGTATTCCCTGTTCGCAGTTTCCACCAGATAGGATATGCTAACACATATCTTGGTGATGGTATTACTTCCTTGGATGTCTGATGGCATTTCCTAAACTAATCTCTATTCAAAAATGAATAAACCCTAATATTTCTCATTACACCTCCATTTTTTTTCCATACAGTAACATTCAAGTCTTGTAAACACTTGTGTTATGTTCCAGAAACATATCTTGGGAGGTAGCATAGATAAGCAAGAAATCTTAAGGTAAACCAATGGAGAAAAGATGTTTTTCAAACTTTGTGAAGTTATGTGTGTGGGATGATGATTATATCTTTTTTCCCCAGCTTATCGACCATGCTGATACTATGCTGAATTATTTCAAGCCAATTTTGTCTGACCACACTTTATTTCTTGCAATTCATATGAAAGGAATCAAAGAGTTTTAACCCCACTAACACAGCTTCCATTCTTGTCAATAGTGTTGATGATGATGATGTAGCAGTGATGTTGTTATGGTAAGTTGGGGGAATTTGTGTCCGGAATTAGTTTTATCGTGGCTTGAGCCTAAACAAAGTCTACTCCTAACATAAGTATTTATGTCGAGTACATAAATCAAACCTATTCCCTAGAGAACGAATTTACTGACATGTTGGTTGATATAACAAGACAATTTTTGCAATAAATTCAACCAACATGAAAACTTAGAAATTACTCTATAGCTGGTAATGCCATATGATGATGTATTCCCTGTTCGCAGTTTCCACCAGATAGGATATGCTAACACATATCTTGGTGATGGTTATACTTCCTTGGATGTCTGATGGCATTACTCCTGGCACCTTATGCCAGTCATCCTCTGAGTGATTGTTTAGTTAACAATATAGCATTCTTTCTCCATAGATTCCATGCAACTGGTTGAAATGGCTTAGAAGAAAGCACCGTTAATTCCTAAAAAAAAAATAGGTAAATTTAATGACTTCGTAAATTTTGAGGTTATCGGCGGAAACGGGAATCGAAGACTTGTCGACATAGTGTGTGGGATGATGATCATATCTTTTTTCCCCAGCTTATCGACCATGCTGATACTATGCTGAATTATTTCAAGCCAATTTTGTCTGACCACACTTTCAAATGTTTGATAACTTCTTTCAGTTTTTGTTTTATGTTTAACAAATTTGCTTTTATTTCTGTTGTAGGGTAAATGTTTGTTTACCAATAGAAGAGCATCTTGAAGATTCTGACCGTTAAGGCCTCTCCTCTCATTCCGCAAATCTAGAAAAGAGTACTTCCTTCTTGAAATGCAGAAACTCTAAAATAAAGTAGAATAACTGTAAAATGGATATTATTTTCTGTTGCCAGTTATCTTCAATAAATGTTGTTCAACACTGCTTGATTTGTTGTCTTTCTCTTTCCTTCTTTCCTTGTTTCATTCTCCCATTCACTCACTCATTTTTCATTTTTTCATTCCAATAATTTCAAAAAACCTGGGAAGTGAATCCTACCATTCCATCTTGCACACGAGAAACGAATAAATAAATAAAAAATAGTGAATTCCTAAATTATATCATTTATAAACTTATGCAATTGCTAATTAACCCCTGCAATTATTGGGTAACATCAAGTAAGATTTTTCGTTTCTCGTGATCTCAAAATTGATACTAGCTTTCAGTCTTGYATAGCTTGCTCACAGTGGCCTTCGACCGAAGTGGCCTGTGCATTAAATGTCTAAAGCTCTGGAAGCTGATACCGCAATACTGACGTAGAAGCGCGCTCTCTTTAAATGAACAAATATCATTTTCACAAACGAAAAACCAACTTTTAAAAACATTTACGTTGACTGGGAAAACATTTTGGTAGTTTATTGTTCCAAATACGAGAAACGAAAGCTGTTTAAGGTGAACTTCTACAGGACTTTGAGTTCAGCCAGTACCTACTATGGTTTGTAGTCTGGTGGAAATAATTACTGTACTGTGGTGAAGGTGGCGGGTTCGCGCGTCGTTCATTGACTCGTTTATCCAGTTGAAGAGCGTAGTACCACGCAAGACATCGCGTAATGACTTGTGCAACTCGCACACTACAAATATCCTATACACATTCCAGCATTTTTCCTTCTCTAAAAATGCTTTATTTTGACGTTATTTTTGTTGCTGTTATTTGATAGGAATGAAGTGACCAGCTCTGTGCAAATACAAAAGAACGGTGTATTGGCGCGAACAATGGCTGCTTTATTTGATGGAATCTGAGCTATCCTAAACATGTTATTGTGAACACGACAGAGCCAATCGTAACTAACCTTGACACCTTAGTTCCGTCAAGGTTTCTTGGTCCTTGCACAAACTCTTCTGACTCAAATTAACAGCCATAAGTCTTCTTGCCAAGCTTTAAACTATGCCAACTTAAGTACAAGAAGCTCTTACTTTTTCTTCTGGTGCCGTTTGGTTAAAATGAGTCGAATATCACGACACGACGAGGATGTTTATAGTACAAGCTGTAACATGACCTTAGTAGATCTAGAAGAGCTTTGTCCTCAAGTCAGGTACTGTTATGTTCTGGGCTCACAATCACGTACTAAAACTACCATAAATACCATTAATTCATACTCAAAATGTGAGAGTCTTTGCGTCTGGGGAGGCCAGAAAATTTTGCAAGGCAAACCATTTCAAAAAACGAGATGTTTGGACCAGGATGACTATGAATGGGTTACAAACACCAGTACCAAACGACACCGACTGTACTACCAGTTCGTACTACACAATTCTCCTGTGTTTTGGTGAGTACTGCCTTATTCAACCGTAGCTCTAAATCATTCCTTTCCTTACAAATAATACCATTTTCTAAGCCTCGCACAACTAAACGTGGTCAGTAATTTTTTTTAAGCAGGAAGGTTCTGCGTTTGTTTTGACTTAATATTGAGGACGTGATTTATGCGCAAATGATGACATTTGACAATAGTCTCTTTCTATTCTTTTCTTCATTTCAAAATATCCATCTCTTAAACAATCGCTTGGTAAAAATGAAACGTAGCTTGCATTTTGTAATTTTAGTACAGCTCTAATGGGATAAACAAAAATGACTTCGTAATTGTATCAATTCCTAATTTTCCTTATTTTTGCTTTCTTTGTACGCTTCGTTGGTTAATTAATGTTGCAGTTTTTCGTTTGAGAAACTTTCACAAACACGATGATCTGTAATACTTAACAAACTTGTAGTTGCGGTGCAACACGTTTGTCACATGCCACTTGCGGTCTTTACCTAATCTCAGTTATACAAACTAACAATCTACTCAAAAAACCGCGAAAATTTTATCAATATTTCACAATACATAGTTGTCTTTGTTTTCCAAGGTTGAAAACTGCTTAGAATTAGATAGTTTATAGGCTAAAAGTAAAGGCATTTTATTTTTTGGCAAGCTTCCTAGATGTGAAATTCCTTGCATATRTGAAGGCTTAGCATGAGTAAAAATTCCTGACGAAAACACGTACATCTGATGAAAAATAGGCGCAAAACTAAAACAAGACTTAAATTAAAGAAAAAGCATCCAGCGCTTCCATATAATATCTTCAAACAATGGAAAGGCATTTCTTTGTTTTTTACTTTCGACAATGATTCAATTTACGAGTTTTCTGTCTTTCTGCCTGAAATAGTGCGAGAAAATACCTGTGTTTTACCTGAAAAAAATACGAGCAACAAAATCTGAAGTTTAAAAATTGTGCGCAGTCATTTGGTGTACAAAAGTAATGGAGAATAAGAATCTTCGTGTAAAATATTTAAAAAGGATGTTTATACAGAGAAGCATTGTCACTAGTTGTACGAACTCTAAAGAAAGCAACCATTGATGCCAGGTTGAGTGCCAGACTTAACTGAAGTGTATCGATTGTATCAATAATGCCTGTATCAACAGCTTAACACTAATCATTGTAGTAGAGGTACTTATCAGCTCTTTCAGTCAGGGCTATTCCAAACTGCTCACTTGACAAAATGTCAGTACATCTTTTCATTGATTATTGCGGGAATCTTCAATGTGAGAATTATTCGTTACAGTAATTTCAGTGCAGCGCCGACTTAGCAATCAATGGCCTCTGCCGACAATCTATTGCACCTAGACACTTTTCTTACTTGAATCTCAGTGATTTAAAAACCCATACATCGTACCTTACCTGAGGAAACACTTAAGACACTGTAGTTCGTACAAGTGAGAGTTACGAGAACTGTGTTACATTCCAAGTTTTTCAGCACAAATATCTTATTTCATTCGCATTGTTGTCACGAGCGACTAAAGATGTATGACAGGAGTTGCATACAACATTTCCTAGTGTAACATACCCTGTCAATGTAACTTCAACCCACCCACTATTTTTTATTGCGGCTAAATTTGCATGAGAAGTTGCAAGGAAAATCGTGTCCAGGGAAACAATACCTTTGGTCAAAGCAATGTTACCTAAAGCCGTTTTACTTTTGAGTACATAAGAACTGTATCGTTAAAAAGTCAGTTTTTATTATCAAGGTCACGTTATCGGGGATTGCTTGACATATGTCCTTAACTTGGCCATAAACTAACTTATTGAGAACTCAACTCGTACCTAGAGCCTGCGGAGGCTCAGCATACGAGATTGGTGAGCAGTAAATTCGCTTATCCAGTACTGCGCATGGTCTAACATGTAAAACCACTGAACCCTTAACCAAGTGCATTCATTTGTCATTTCTAGCGAACTGAGTCGACTTCAATTTGGCAAAGCGCAATATTATCAATTATTTTAATATTAAAACAGTCAAATTAGCAGTGTACGAGTAGTATTAGTCCCATGTTAACATTTTCCTGCGATTTCTTTATACTTTTAAGTTTAAAGGAATATTAAAATTGGCTCAGCGCATGCGTCAAATAAAGTGCGCACAATATTCTATAGGGTGTTATTTTCGCGCACAGTGGCGCAGGCTATTAGTGCGCACTAATATCAACACTAACTCTTAAAAAACAAGCATTACCATCACTGATCTAAACATGTAGTAAATATATAATTGTTCTTGTTAATAGAGTATTTTGTCGAGTTCAACACTGTTTATAATATATAATAAGAAACTCGAACTCAAACTAGAAAAATAATAACCTTCCATTGTACCGGAAGAATTAAAAAACAACGGGCGTTTCTCTTGACCTCTGTATTTATATAAATAAATGTTGCAATTTAATGAGTTTTAACTTTTGATCTTTCAAAGTAGCTGGGGAAGTTACTGAAGTAGGCACTCATATGTCAATCATTCGGTTCGTTTATGTTGGTTGTTTCGTGATTCGAATTCTTTAAGAGTCGCCCATCTAAAATATGGACTGAAGAATTGAGCTACTATAGAACATGAAAAATATCACAAATCTGACATGCTAAGTTCCAATTCGTTTATACTCAATCAGTTGGATCGTGCACTGACTTACATCAGTTCATAGGATGTTTCATGGTTCAATAAAGGTTTGACAAAGTCACTGTACTAGTGAATTTACACACACACACACATGCACATCTTACCTACGACACGTTCGCGACGCACGCGTATTGACGCATCCTAACGAGTTAACTAATGTTATTTCTTACACCAATACAAACCGAGATAAAAAACTAGATAAAGATTACTTCACAAGACGATTGTCACGGACATTAGGGATGCGCACGCATAGCATGTCATTTTCTGTTCCCCATGACGTCACTACTTCTACTAGGTTCATATCATATAGTGAAGAAATAGAAAACGCGCGCGCGTGCTGTGTGCAGTCATAAAGCACGCGGGGGTTGGCAGAACACGAGAGAAGTGTTAGAAGCACGACGCGTAGCGGAGTGCTTCTGGACACTTCTCGAGTGTTCTGCCAATCCCCAAGTGCTTTATAACGGCACACAGCACAGCAAACAAGTTTTTTATTTCTTTTATAAAATATAAAATACAATAACCGTTATTTTAGATAGGAATGACTCAACGGAAAGTGCGCGCGCGTGCAATGTGCTCTCATAAAGCACGCGCTCCAAATCAATCAGAACGCGACATCATAACAGTTATTTTATGATATTTGTTGGTACAGGTTCATATAGTATCTGAATAACCTTCAATGACCTTGCATGGTGTGTAATCTTTAAAGGTGATGTTACATGAAACGACTCAATTAGTGCAACTTGTTTTGCGTTTGCCTCGGGTAACATGGCGAGTGCGGCAACACTAATCGATGGCAGTAATGTTGTGAGTTTTAGTAAAGATCGTTTGAAAACCTCCAACGAGTTGCCGCAACAAAATATTGTTAAAAATCGTAACGGCGCGCCATGTTACACGAGAACAATCTTTCGCCCAAAATCGTTGCGCGAAAAGTCTTCTCTGCGAATTGTGTCGTGTAACAGCACCTTTAAGATTCGTTTTGCACATGTTTCTTGGAGTACAAAGTACAGATAGACTACTTTCAGTTTTGTAAACAGGTCCTGAAGTCATGATATGCCTTTCACGTTTTGCTTATTACGAATCAGTGTTTGACACCATGAATAAATCTTCGAATGAATAGACCCTATCACCGTGTGCGCAATGTTTACTGAATTTACCTTCTCAATCGTTACAAGTAATGAAAGAAATATTACTCAAGGGAATAAAATGTAATGTGAATTAGAAAAAGGTGCGTAATGTTGCTACCTTATCATAATTAGTGTTTTGTAGTTGCTAATCGATCATCCTCCATGTACATGCATCGTGTATAAGGTAATCGATGCTATCATACTCCATGTACATGCATGGTATACGGCGCACCAAACAGGCTCAGTGCAAACCATTCTGCTAGTACTGCTAGCTGATCTGAAATAGTGACGTAGAAATGACGTCACTGCAACAAAACTGAAGCATGCTAAAATTGACCAGCGGAAGATCAAAACATGCCCGTTATCAAGCACTTATTAGCAACGTTATTTTTTTCATTTGGTGATCTGGAAATCCGGGATTTCAAGAGGAAAAGTGACACCTCGGTTATGCAACTTTTCTCGATTCTGATTGGCTAATATTTTTGCTCCAATTAGCTGGTGGATAAATAGATAATAAATAGATAATAAATAGATGATAAATAGATCATAAATAGATCATAAATAGATCATAAATAGATCATAAATAGATGATAAATAGATAATAAATAGATCATAAATAGATCATAAATAGATCATAAATAGATCATAAATAGATCATAAATAGATGATAAATAGATCATAAATAGATCATAAATAGATCATAAATA